TTCCTCTGGTGCTGGCATGCTAGGCATCTCCCCACAGTGACAGTGAGATGGTTGGCTAACCCAGAGCTCCTGTGAATTCCACAGTGGTCCAAAGGCTATATAAAAATGTTTCCTCCTGCACAATGAATGTAGATATTCATTCAATGTTTTTTGGAGTCTGTTTCCTGGGTTTTCGTCTCCCTCATCCCCTCCTAGATCCCAGTTCACACAGTTTAAATGTACTAAACTGAAATTTTGTATTTCTTCTACACCTGAGTATATATAAACTTCATAATCTTTTTCAAATTTGAAATAGGAAAATGTGTGTGTAGCAATCTAATCATGTGTAACAGAAACTAAAGTTTTATGTGTTAATATGAAATTACCCACACATGTTTCTACAGAATACATATATAGAGAACTTTATGTCAGAGTAAATTTTCATGAAGTAAAGAGGGACATGTTACTATTTTCTAATTAAGATAAAATACGTATATAACAGGGTAATATCTCCATTTCCCATTTTTATTATAGAAGACTTTAAATATAATGTTTTTTCTCCTTCACATGTCAATTATAATCTTTGCTTCCTATTACTCTAGAAGTCATTAATCAAGCCATTGATTAATGCTTGAAATCATGCAGGTGCTGCTATTACATATTCATTATTAATCATATTATTTATTCAGGCCAGTGAATTTTGCATACTCAACACATTCTCAAACAAATATTCATGTTACCTACAATCTGAAATGTATCACTGTAATTTATAAAAAAATCTATGTGTGTTATACAAAATACCATTTCTCCAATTATCAATCTCAGAGGCATAGTTGCTTCACTGTTTCTTCTTTAAAGACACTAGAGGTGCTGTTATTTTATGTAATATGCAACATATTTTAAAATAAATTTCCATTAGTTTTCTAATGTTTTAATATGTAAAATCATCTTTAAAATTATTCTGGAGTGTTTATATGGTAATAATTCTAAGAATATCTTATGTTTAATTCCATTTTGTTTACTGTTAGGAAATGTAGTAATGAAAGTAAATTATATGTTCAAGATTTTTTGTGAATAGTACTCATTTATAGAACCTTGCCCATGACTTTCTGAGATCAACATCTTTATCACCTAATTCATTATTTCTATAATTACCTGTAATATTGAACATTAATTGTTAAAAATGTTTTAATAGACACAACAACAAAACAGAACTTTACCACTGTCCTTCATGTTTTTTAACAAACAAAAATCTTATCTCCTATAATTCTCTATTTATACTAGTGTCCTTTCTGGCTCTCCTCATACCTCCAGCCTATATATGTCCCTACTCATTCATATGTTATCCCTCCTTTTCTATTATTCTTTATTTTTTATTTTACTGTGTAAATATTGATGTCCACTCTTCTACAACTTTCTATAAATCACACATTCTCCAAAGACTACTCCATTGTTCCTGTTCTGAACCATAACATAAACACAAGTTTAATGCCAACATGTCTCTGGTATGCAGAAAAACTGGGATTGTTGAACAAAATAAGTATGAACATGACTCTGGTCCCCCGAATAACTACAAAAAATTCAAAAAAGATGTCCCTCTAAGATAAAACAGAGTAAACAAAGCAATCAACCAAATAGAACTTGGAAAAAGAAAGGTAAAATCTAAAGACACTTTTCTCTGGATGTCCAAAGAGCGTATATGTATATAAATAGAAAAACACACAGGAAAAAGAAATTGTATGGAATTCTCAAAGACAAAGCAAAATTATGTGTATGTTCAAGCAATTTAAAGATGAAAGAGAAATTCCTCAATGAATCTTAAAATGACCTATTGTATTAATCTGAATGCATATAATCGAGTAAAATGCCTTGTATTTCAACTTAGGATACTTAAATTATATTTTTTCCTCAAATTTTCTTTTTTAATACATGCATTCATTGGGATTATAAAGAATAAAATTAACAATACCTTAGTTATTATATTGTATTACCTGAAAAATAGTAATAGAAAGAATATAAAATATTAAATTCAAAATTGTTTTAAAATGAATAATTTAAAATACTTTAAATGTTTAGAGAGAATCTATAGAGCAGTAAATATCAAACATATTATTAATTATGGTGGCACAAACTTTGCTATAATATTAGTATATAATGTATTAATAAAATAATATCAAATATATGTTCAAATCCCATTGCCCCTTTCTCCAGTCCATTGTCTTCCTCTGTGGCCTGGTAAGGCTGTTCCCCGCCTCAGGGGGAGGTGATCAATCAACAGGCCAATCAGTTCATGTCAGAGACAGTCCCTGTTCCCATTACTATGGTACCCACATGGACACTGAACTGCCATGGGCTACATCTGTGCAGGGTGTCTAGGTTATATCCATGAATGGTCCTAGGCTGGAGTCTCAGTCTCAGAAAAGATCTCTGTAGCAAGGGAAAAAGACCAAGTAACATATAATGTTAGACCTATCAGAATCACACCAGACTTCTCAGCAGAAACTATGAAAGCTAGAAGGGCCTTGGCAGATGTCATGCAGACTCTAAGAGACCACATATGCTAACCCAAACTACTATCCACAGCATAAATTTCAACATAGGTGGAGAAAAAAATATTCCATGACAAACTAAACTTAAACAATATCTGCACAACAACCCAGCCCTACAGAAGATACAAGAAGAAAACTCCAATCTAACAAAATCAACTACACCCAAGAAAACACAGGGTATAGAGAGCTTCACAAGAAAAAAAATGAAAAGAAAATAAGCCCACAAACACACTATCACCACCCACTCCACAATAAAAAGAACTAGCATACAGTGGCCACTATTATCTATCAACATCAATGGACTAAACTCTCCAGTAAAATAAACACATACTAGCAGAATTATTGCAGAAACAGGATCCAACATTCTGTTGCATCCAAGAAACACACCTCTGCAAAAGAGATAGGCAGTACCTCAGAGTAAAGGGCTGGAAAACATTTTTCAAGAACATGGACCCAGAAAACAAGCTGGTGTAGCTATCTTAATATCTAATACAATTGACTTTAAACAAAAAATAGTAAAAAATGAGGAAGGACACTTCATTCTCACCAAAGAAAAATTCCACCAGAAAGATATCACATGCTGATCATCTATGTGCCAAATAAAAGGGCACCTGCATTCATAAATAAAATATTATTAAAGCTAAAATCACACATTGATCCCAACACCTTAATAGTGGGAGACTTCAACTCTCTATTCTCATCAAGAGAAAAATCATCTAGACTGGAGGTAAATAGGGGAATAATGACACTTACAGAGGTATTAAATAAAATGTACCTAATGTCAACAGAAATTTTCACCAAAACTCAGAAGAGTGTTTCTTCTTCTCAGTACACCATGGAAACTTCTCCAAAGTTGACCATACAGTAGGAAAAGAAAAAAAAAAAAAAAAAACAAGCCTTAACAGATACAAGAAGATTGAAATAATCTCTTGTACCCTATCAGAACACCATGACCTAAAACTAGACTTCAACAACAGAAATAATAAAAAATTCTACACACACATGGAAACTAAATAACTCTCTATTCAGCAACAGCTGGATCAGGGAAGAAATAATAATAAAAAAGTAAATTAAAGACTTCCTAGAATTCAATGAAAATGCAGGCACAGCTTACCCAAAATTATGGGACACAATAATTCCCACAAATTATGGGAAAACAGTGCTAAGAGAAAACTTCATAGCACTAAGTACCTTCAGAAAGATGTTTGAGACATCTCATACAAGCAGCTTAACAGCACACCTGAAAGCACTAGAAAAAAAGAAGCAGACACATCCAAGAATAGTACAGGGATGGAAATAATCAAACTGAGGGCTGAAATCAATCAATTAGAAAGAAATAAAACTATTCAAAGAATCAATGAAACCAAGAGCTGTTTCTTTGAGAAAATGAACAAGATAGATAAACCCTTAGCCAAACTAACTAAAAGATAGAGAGAAACTATCCATATCATCAAAATCACAAAAAGGGGGACATAATAACAGACACTGAGGGAATTCAAATAAATATTAGGTCTACTTTAAAAGGAGAACAGAGCCAAAAACGTGAGCCGAGTTGTCTTGCAGAGAGTGATACTCCAAGTACATTATATGGAAAGAACCAAGACGAGGCTTATAGACTGCTCAGTTTCCAAGTGGATTCCCTAGTGAGGGGATCAGGGGCTGTCTGTGACAGGAACTCAGTGGCAGGCTCTTTGATCACCTACCCCTAGGGGTACTAATGACATTCTGCAATACTTGCAGACAGGCACCTAGCATAACTGTCATCTGAGAGGCTTCAACAAGCTACTGATGGATACCGATGCAGAGACCTCCAAACATTAGGGGAACATTGGGAATCCTGTGGAAGAGGTAGAGGAAAAACTGAAGAGACAGGGATGTCAAGGATGCAAGAAAATCTACAGAATAAAATAATCTGGGGCCAAGGAGATCACAGAGACTGAACTGCCCAACAGATAGCATGGAACAGACCTAGACCCTCTGCATATATGTAACAACTCAATCTTCATGTGGGACTCCTAATAGCAGGAGCAGGGGCTGTCTCTGATATTGTTGCTGTTGCTTGCCTTTGGATCACTTTTCTCTAACTGGCTTGCCTTGTCTAGCCACATAAGATATGTGCCTAGTCCTACTAAAACTTGAAATGCCAAGGTGGGTTGGTATCCGGGGGAAGTATCCCCTTTTCTGAGGAGAAAGGGAAAACTTTGGAAGGATGCAGCTGTGGGGGAAGGCGAGAGGGAGGGAAGGAGTGGAGAGGAGAGAGGGGAAGCTGCAATTAGGACATAACGTAAATTACTTGATAATTATTATTTTTTAAAAAAGAATATATTGTATCAAAAAGACTCTCCAAGCAATATTGATTATTCCCATTGTCATTGCTTCCCATAAGTTAAAAGTACATATTTATCTTATTTATGAAATGATTATTTCCTTAAATATTGACCTCTGTCTTTGTTGAGAAAAAAAATTGTAATTATCCCCTTCATAGTTCATGATGATTGGGTATTCATGCTTTTGCCTGATATGCTCTGCTCATTAAACCTTGTTATGATATGGGCACATTAAACAGTCTGACATGAACTTTAAAAATATTTTATAATTTTTAATTTTTAATTAATTTATATATTTATTACAAAATATTCACTTTATATCTCCACTGTAGCCACCTCCCTCGTCTCCTCCTAGTCCTACCCACCCTCACTCTTCTCTCCCCCTCCCCTTTCCAAAGTCCCATGATAGGGGAGGACCTCCTCGCCTTCTATCTGACCCTAGCCTATCAGGTATCATCAGGGCTGGCTGCATTGTCTTCCTCTATGACCTAGCAAGGCTGCACACCACAGGGAGAGGTGATCAAAGAGCCTGCCATTCAGTTTATGTCAGAGACAGGCTCTGATTCCACTTGGGCTTCCTCTGAACATGGGGTCTCGATCCTCCCGATGCATGATCCTTGGTTGGAGTGTTGGTCTCTTCAGAACCCTCAGGGCCAAGATTTTTGGTTCTGTTGATCTCCTTGTGGACTTCCTGTCCCTTCCATGTCTTACTATCTCCCTCTTCTTCCATAAGGTTCCCTGCTGGTCCTTCCTAGCTAGCCTTTTCTCTATGATAGACTTTTCAGTTTATTGTTCAGTGTCTCATTTAAGTGATTTGTTGTTCTTATATGTAGTTTTAATGGGTTTTGCATGTGGTGCAGTACCTTAATACTGCACATTTTTATTTTTTCCTATCCTGAAAACTTATATATAGGCTATTTTTTAGACTATTTCATCTGCCCATTACATTTATATTTTTATTCTGTAAATGTTACTGGATAATATCCTCAATATTATTTCAATGCCTTTTTAATATTTTCATTAGTCTATGTTGAAATTAGCTGATATTCTCAAATACATATTGCCTATTTTGTTAAATACTTTTTAACTATATTCATTTCTCTCTCCTCAAACTACATATAATGTTTATATCTGAATTTCAGTAGTTTGTATTTTATTAGTTTTTTTTATTTTAATCTGAATTTTCTGACTTAATCTACATGTATGTATAATTTTGAAAACTATAAATATACTCACAAATTTAATATCTCATTCATATTATTTCTCAACAATATTATTTTGTTCTTATTATCTATTTATTCTACTACTCTGGTTTTTAAATTTTTATTTAATATGTAACTATATAGTTTCCCCACTTCTGTTCCCTTTCTCCAATCCTTTCAGTATTTCCTTCTTCCATCATGCCCCATGATGATCCCTTACTATCTCCAAAAATAATGTCCTCCTTTTATTTGATTATTATTGTTCTATATATGCATACATATATAAATGCAATTGGCTAAGAAATTTATTACTGCTTATAGGCACATGGTGTAAGAACTCGTAGCTTAACATACATACAAAATTAGGGAGCTCATCCTTGAGAAAACTAATTTTCCTCTCCACAGTCATTAGTTGTCTGAAGTTTTCTGTCTGTGGTGAGGATGTATGAGCCTTTCCCCGTCCACATTAGCTTTTATCATTCTAGACTTGCTCAAGAAGTCATATTGCGAATGTACCATGTGTATAGGTTCCTTGTCATATCTGGTAAATATAAAGTCATAACACAATTCCAGGTACTTCAGCTCTTAAACTCTTTCACTATGAACCTTGAGTATGGGTTTTGTTTTGTAGATATGTCAAATAGGGGTGAACATCTCAAGTTAAGTTGTTCTATGCATTTTGACCAATTGTAGCTTGGTGCAATTGTCTCTGTCCAGTACAAAAAGAAGATCCTTTGATAAAGGTTGAGAGTTACATTTATCTGTGGGAATGAAGAGACACTTAGAATGCCATGAGAAATTACACTGGTCTGGTAATTTAACAGCATTGGGTTCTCCTCTAACATCCATTACTTCACTGGTCCCTGATAATCGGCTAGGTTTTCCATACTAGTCATAATTTTCCTCCTATTGAGGAAAATGTAATATAATGTTTCCTTAGAGCTTTATCAAACATCATTAATATTTTTAAATTTATGTGATTATAAATTAAAGATAACATCATCTGCTGCATAATTGTTTTACAAGGTTCCTTTATTTCTTAGATTCTTAAAATTTATAACTAACATTTTCATATTTTTTTCTGTCTAGAATCTATGGATACCAGTGTTTCTAAGATTCATATTTTATTCTGTTCTATACTTTCTTTTGTTTGATACTATATTTTCATACTATATTTTCTTTGTTTTATACTGTTTTAAGATTTTATGAATTGGAAACTTGTCTATTTATGTTACTGGCCTGTATATATGATTTAATGGTGCTAATTCCTTCTTTGTTCAACATTTTCTTTTTTTTAAATTTATTATTTATTATTGGAGGCATGTTATTTCTTTATTTTTAAAGTTTTTTAGAAATTCTTTTTTTTGTATTTTATTTTTTTCTTATCAGTTACATTTTATTAACTATGTACCCCAGCCGTGTCCCGATCCCTCATTCCCTCCCAGTCTCTCCCTCCCTCCTCTCCACCGTGCCCCTTGCCAAGTCCACTGATGGGGGGACCTCCTCCCCATTCATCTGATCCTGTTTTATTAGGTATCCTCAGGACTGGCTGCAAAGCTTTCCTCTGTGGCCTAACAGGACTGCTCCTCCCTTGGGGGGTGGGGAGGCCAAAGAGCCAGCCATTGAGTTCCTGTTAGAAATAGGTAGGATTTGCTGAAGGAGGCAGAGGCAGGAGGATCACGAGTTCGAAGCCAGCCTGGGCTACACAGTTTTTGCAACCAAGGACCATGTATGAATGTAACCTAGAACCTCTGCTCAGATGTAGCCTGTGGTAGCTCAGTAACCAATTGGTTTCCCATAGTGAGGGGAACAAGGACTATTTCTAACAACATTTTCAAGATGGGCAACATTCTTACTAAATCCCAAGAAAAGTGCCTAGATGTATTTTAATGCATATTAACTCATTAATTGATTAGAAAATCTCTTCTATATCTTTTAAAGGATACAGCTTCATTTCTCAGCCATTAGATCTTTCCATGTTTGCTTGCTTGTTTGTTTATAATTCATTCATTCATTTATTTCCAGTTTTTTAAAGCCTACGACTTTGCACATGCTAGAAAAATACTACCAACAAAGCTGTAAATGTTATAACTTTTATTTAAATGAATATTAAAATATCACTTATAAAAATAAAAATATTCCTTTTTTCTGATACACTATTTTCATGTTGTGCACACCTATGTCTATATGTTTCCCTAATAGTTATAACTATTTACTATTTCCAAAATACTATTCGCCAATACCTAAAATCACACTTTTCAAAAAAGTTTTATTTCAAAATATTAGCTTATTACTGTGAATTTCCTATGAAACTACTTATTATAACGTGCACTTGATGAAGCATATGCCAAGTCAATTTTGTTGAAAGCAAGTACGGAATTTTTAATTAATACATGTTAATTTCTTAATGTGAAATAAGGAAAATTCTAAATCATGTCATGCTTACATATTAAATTCATATATTTGTGGCATGCTGTGTTTGTCTTGCAATGTTTTACTTTATCAATTATTATTGGTTTATCCCCAGTGAATTCACAAACAAATTTTTATCTGATCTAATTTCCATGTTGATGAAGAAATTTCTGAAATTTGTTTTCTTTCTTCTACAAATCACACCTTCATTCTTCAGTTTTATTAGAAATTTGTCATAATATAAAGTTAAAACATATTTAACTACTCAAACATTTCTACTAATAAGCACTTGTTTATAGGCTCAGATACGTATGTTACTTATACTATCTTGAGATTATAATAAAAATTCAGTAATTCGTAACAACTTGTCAACTAATATGACAAAGTCCAAATCTAGTAAATAAGGAAGAGTTTAGTGGGTTATACAGGGGAATGTTGTAATAATGATTGTTATGTATCTCACTTGATATCTCCATTAGTTAATTTTTTTCATTGCCATGAAAAAAAAATCCATGATAAAAGCAATATAGAAAATGAAAGAAAATTAAGTATTCTTTTTGTCTTAGGCTTTGGGAAGATAAATGATATTGGTAAAAGCATAACAGTGCAAATGTGAATTAGAGTGGTGGTTGCTGGTGTTTATCTCATTTTCTCCATTTTTCTTTTTTATTCACTCCCTTGCCCTAACTTATCTGGTAGGGCTGCCTTTCAGGGTATATCTTCCAGTCTTAGTGAAACCTCTCTAGAATCCCTTTATACACATACATGTTTACTGCAGAAGTGATTCTAAACCCGATCATGCTGACAAATCAAGTTTTAACCATCAAAACCTTTGTCTTTTTTCAGTGTTCAGGTATGAGGGAAAATCTTTTCCCCATATTCCTATATATTTACTGACTTTTGAAAGGATATGTATAATGAATGCTTAGGTTCAAATTTACTTCTAGCCACTGTTTTGGTCAATATTTTATAAATAGCATATAAACAGAAAACTCATTTATATCATTCCAATTTATTCTTCTCATTTGGATTATGACCCAAATATTGTTTCCTGATTTTGTTATCTTCACAGATATCCTGATTCTTCACATATTCCTGATTTTGTTATTTTCTCTCTTGCTGTATCAACTGCTATTTCTATGCTGCTTATAACAAGTCTGTTCTTTAAAAGCTTTATATAAAATTCCATTGTATTTTTTCATCAAAATATTAACTTGAAATGTTATTTCGCTATTCTTATTCATCATGCTCCTTATTTGACATTTACAGTTGCACTGCATTGTTATCATTATATGATGACATAAGACTAAAATTTTACAAAATATCATGTGTACTTTTGTTGTTCTTCCAACAGTTGAGTGTTTTCAAATTTATGGAACATCATTTAACAAGATAGATACAGTCAATTCATTTCAAATACATGCTTATATTTTGTGACTTGATCCTCTTTTGTAATTGGTCCTGCCTATCAATCTTTGTTTTTGTTCTGGCTTGAGGTCCTATATGACCTGATTTTGTCTTTCATATGCAGAGATTTCTTTGTTTCTTGTTTACAGTTTCTAATCTTTCTCAACACATTTTTTTTTATTTCTAACATACATTGGTACCCCATCACTTGCTAGCATCTATAAG